AAAACACATTATTTTTCACATATTTTACATTATTACAACACCTCTCTCCCCAGTCTGGCACAAACGGCTCAAATAGTTCCTGTATCAAATGAAGGCCCGCCTTCTGAAATACGAAATGTACTGTGATTGGTTAGCTGGGACAGTGCGTGTTGTGATTGGCAGCACGCGGCGCCTGGTCGGGAAATGTCAAAATCAATCAATTTGAGTGCGATTTAATCCCGGATGATTGCAACCACTCTAAGTTCGTCTGCATTGGGAAAGCTAGCGTGTCTCCGACATAGTGATAACACTCGTTGCCTTCTCTAGTGCAGCTCAACCAGCAGATATGATGCAGTAATGATGGCTGATTGTACATTTCAGTATGCCACACTACCCCAGGTAAATGTGAGTGCATATAATTTTAAAAATCTGTCAACTGGTGCTTCATTATATTCACGAATGCATTTCTGGTATCATGGCTAATAAGAAGTACTTTTCTGTATTCTTTTGTTCTTAATCAGAATAAGTGCAAGGAAGGTGCACATAATTATTCAAAAAACACTTAAGAAGTACAAATAAAAGGCAAGTCCTACACGTGGATAAGAATGCCTGAGAGAGGTCCGATTCAGGCGCTGCACCAGAAATCTCTGTTGTTCTCATATTTTTAGCATGTGTGCTGCGTATACTTCAAGAGCAAAGGTGCATTATGGTCATCTGCAAAGAATCTCTTTTGCTGGAACTGATGCATTCATTACACACCACAGTAAAGAGCGTGACAGCCTTGCGTGTGTGAGCTGGTGTACTCTTTTGTCTTTTTTTTAAGCTAAATGATACAATGTCATATTTTGAGTTATAATCTATCTGCGGAACAAGCCAAGTCCACAATAATCAAAGTAAATGAAAGCAAATGTCGAGTTGGACTTGAGCCCTACTTATTGGTACAGTTCTGTGCTTTTTTTGCAGGCGGATTTCTTTGGCCACCCCTCGTCAGCTCTTCAAGTCGTCTAATATGACTCAGCGCTGGCAAAGACGGGAGATCTCCAACTTTGAGTACCTGATGTTTCTCAATACCATTGCAGGTCAGATCTTATTTGCTCGGCATTGCTAACCAGTTATTTAAATGAAAGCATTTTGGACTATTTGCAATCACGCTCAACACTCTTGATTTGATAGGGATGATAATTTTTTCCATTGATCAGTGTTTGTAGGTTGCCAGCAAAATGTTCTTTTATTTTATTTAGTGCTGGGCAACGATTAATCGCGATTAATCGCATACAAAATAAAAGTTTTTGTGTACATAATATATGTGTGTGTACTGTGTATATTTATTATGTATATATAAATACACACACATGCATGTATATATTTAAGAAAATATGTTGTGTTTATATATTAAATGTATTTATATATAATATAAATTATATGAATATAAATATATATACATGTAAATATTTTATTTTATTTTATTTTCTATTTTTTTTTGTGGTATTATCAGTTTCCCTTTTCAAACAAAAAGACCCTCTGACAGAAATCTAGTCTAGAAATGAGTCTTTCCCCTCATTATTTATTTATAAGCTATATTTTCTTTTTATACTCAGATGCTCTATTGTTGCGCAAATGTGAGAGCCGTGGACTCTTTGGGATAATTAGTGTGGCTCTGTGAGTGTGTGCAGAGTTGAAATATTCTGTTGCAAAGTCTCTGATGTGAGCTAGTGAGAACTCTCTCACACGCACACACACCTCCTATTGACACTGAAATGTGTCATCCCTGCTCGCGCTGCATATTCATGCATATTTATATTTAGCTCAGGCTTGAGTTCGAAACATTATTGTCAGCTAATTAGATGTAAGGCAGAGTTGGAATGGGGTAAAATTCATTAAAGGCAGGAGTGGTAATGACCTGTGATGACAGAGGTGTCAGTGAAGTCCGGGCCTACCGACAGGAGAGAGAGAGGGGTGTTAATGTGAAGCCGGTCCGCTCCTAATTAAACACTGTTGCGGTGATATTAACACCTTCCACCCGGGCCTCGGTCCTGTCAGCTCAACCTCCCCTCATCTCAACCTTTTTCCTCTTCTCGGCCCCACTTCACCATGTGGCATTAACCTGGTTAATCAAGTCTACCTCATCCTAGACCCAGCCTATCTCAAGATCATTATGCTCAGGGTTTGGGATGGATTTCGTTAGTATCAGTGATTGTATAAGAATAACAGAACTGTGCCCCCATTTATTTTTTTATTTTTATTTTTTATATTATTTTATATATTGTTTATTTTATTTTATTCTCTATTATAGTTATTTTTATTAACTATAATAGTTATAATTTAAATAAATTGACTTTTATTATTTTGTCCCCACAAACTAGTATTATTAGTCATAATAATACATTCATCGTAATAGCAGCACCAGCATATATGTGTGTGTGTGTGTGTGTGTGTATAACTAGTAATATTACTTAAAATAATCAGCAATAATAATATATCAATTGTAATCATAATTTAGGCTATAGATAGAGAGATAAAAATATACAAAATATAAATTGAAATTTAACTAATAGAAATAAAAATTATATTTAATATATATAATAACATCTATATTAATAATAAATTTATAGAGCGAAAGAGAATAAATAAAAATGTATATTAGGGTAAATACCAGGGTAATTAATGCCATGTTTGTTTAATTAACAGCATTAAAACTAAACTGTTCATATTGTATTAAACCACTTGAGGGCTTTATAAATCATGGAAGTGTTTTATCTGTACTCTCTAAGAGGTGGCTGTTTAAGAGGAAGATTAATGACAGTCATTTGTGATGGGTCTGGTAATTAGCCCACACACGCTATCATCTCCAACCATCATGACAGGCCTGAAGAACCCAGAACCAAAGCCCAGATCGTCAAACTCTCCACACCCTCCACACACGCTCACATTCTCAGGCAGTTATCTGAACTGAGATGCCCCTTTGGGTTAGCGTCACCTCAGAGGATTTTTACTAAGGTCAGGATCAGCTTTAATTTGTGCCCTCCCCGAGTTCCACAGGAAATACCAGGCTTCCAGTCCTTGTCTGAGTAATCGCACTGTAAAGATGAAATAGCCCCAGTTTATCTCTTCTTTAAGAGGTTCTATATATCAGCATGGCTAAGCTTCAGTGGCGTCCTTACAGCTCCAGATCACAGCGGTAGCCAGACAATCTGGAAACTTTTCTGTTCACACAGCAGCACAAATCACGCCAGCACCTTTGCAATATTACAGGGCTATATATCAGATTGGCATTTCCCAAATCTTTTTTTTTTTTGTGCATTCAAAAGCTTAAGGTTTATTTCTTGGCTACAGCTTTCTTTCATAGAAAATCCCATGTATATATATATATATATATATATATAAGATTGGAGCAGAATCTACCCACACGCAAACTTTGTTTATATATACAGTATGCATGCATGTTTATACTTTTAAGTTTATTCAATATTCAGATTTATTTATTTTTAATTTCCCAATTAAATATAAATGAAATTACAGTTGAAGTACAATTAAATGTAAATTAAATTATATAAATGTAAAATAATATAATGAAATTTAATAATATAATTAAATCATAAATATAAATGAAATTTATATCCTAAATACATATAAATTAAATTACAGTTAAATTACAATTAAATATAATTAAATTTTATATATGTATTTGTTTATTCAATAATTAAATGTATTTATTTATATAAAGTTTTATACATTTTATGTATATACAATGTATAAAATGTATAAAAGTACATGTACATTTATTTATACATTTTTTTATTCAATATTCAAATATATTTATTTTATGTTTCTTAATTTATTCGAGAGAGAGAGAGAGAGAGAGAGAAATAAAAAATAGAATTAAATAATAAAAAAATAAATGAGTAAGATTGAAGTAATCAACTATTTAAGTATTTAAAGGGGTCATATGATGCTGCTAAAAAGAACATTATTTTGTGTATTTGGTGTAATGAAATGTGTTTATGCGGTTTAAAGTAAAAAAAAAGCGCGAAAGCACATTAATACAATGCGCGAGCGCGAATCTCTCCGCTCGCGCGCGGATTTCCTTTGCTCTCACACAAAAACGGGCGCGCGCGCTCAGGTAGACGCTGCTCTCGCCCGGAGAGAGTGCGCGCACTTAAAACATGTCTCCTCTCACTCAAACTGTGTCCTGTGCACTCTCAAATCTCTCTGTGCTCATGCGCTATAGATATTACTTATTTTCGCACCTGAATTAAACATTGTATGAAGGTAGAATGACGTCAAAAAGATTTGCATACGCAGGGTAAGAGTTCTGGAAGTGTACATAAGACTGTAAGCGTAAATTAAATTTGCATGCGCAAGAGAAGCTTTGTAAAGGTGTAAATCGTG